GCCTCCCCATGCTGCTGCAGGATGGCTGTCTGTCCGTCTGTCTGACTGCACGACACCTTCCCACCCAACTCAGTGAGCCACAACTGGCTGAGCTGTGGAGCCGGCAAGGTCAGCCCTGCAGCTGTGAGCCACGGCCGATCCCATGGAGCAGCAGATCCACGGAGCAGGACATCCTCCCATCAGCCCTCTGCCAATGGGCTTCTTCTTCATCAGCCGCAGCAGCTTTGGACATCCCCAGGACCTTCCCACCAAATGAGGGTAGCAATGAGTTTGGCACCAATGGGACCTCCAGGCCCTGCCACCGGGCTGCCGTGCAGCAGGACAGGCACTCTGCAGCTTTTCTCCAGGCCGGGGATGTGTCCACTTTTCCTCACCGCCTTCTCACTCAAACACTTTTTTTTTTTTATTTTATTTTTCCCCACTTGAAACCTCTTGCAGGAAATCACCTTTGAGCAAAGGTTAAGCACAGGGAATTTCAAACCCAATGGTAATCATCCGTATATTTGCGAAGTTGTGAAAAATAGAGCTTTTGCATGGCAATGTTCTTCCAGCCCCTGTTCCATCATTAAGGCATAAATCCAGCTTTGTAGACCTTCGCTCTGCCTGCTCTATAGGCACAACGCGTTGCTGTGGGAACCACAACTTTCTGAATTCGTTTTCACTCCGTGCCGTTTCAGCACGTCCCCAACAGGAGCTCCAGTGGGAGAAAGATCCACAGCGTTCTGCAAGGGCTCACCCCCAGGAGATGCGTTGTAGTGAATAAATAAATAGCTGTGTAATGGGGAACAAGGGGGAGAGTGGGTGGAGGAGGGGAATAATAGGAGGTGAGCAACAGGCGGTGCTGGGTGTGAGGATGTGGGTGGTGGTGGGGGGGTCTGGGGGTTGTGCATGGGGGATTTGCAGTTTTGGAAGTGGTGGGCAGCAGGGAGCTGTGCCCTGTGCTGCTGCACTTCTCCATGCCTGGCAGTGGGATGGCGGTGGGGCTGCTGCTGGTTTGTGGTGTTGTCACCTATCGTGGGGTCACTAGGCCTGAGGAGGGGACAGGTGGGTGTTCAGACAGTTTGGGGCCACCTGGAGGACGATGGGGTTCAGGTGGCTGCAGTGCAGGAGAGATGTGATGCTGCTTGGCATGGGCAGTGTGGAGAATCCATGTCATGGACCAACAGCAGCACTAATGCACCTACAGGGCTTGGCTTACCGTGAAGTGATGTCAGTGTTCTTGTCTTCCTCAAGCCCCACATGTGGACATCATTTGTTGATTGCTATGTCTAGGTGCCCACGTGCCTGCCCACAGTCCTTGCTGGTCCCAGTCTCCCACAGGATGGTTCTGTGGCTCCGAGAGGATGCTGCGAGGCAGAGCGTGGTGCTGAGCACAGCACTGTGCCCGAGGACGAGGAGCACCACATGTGCCCACCAGCATCCACGAGCGTGCTGCATTCCCAGTGCTTCGTGATTTACCTCCTTGCAGCACCTCAATTTAAATGCTAATTCTCCCCGTGCTGAAAGGCGAAGCAGCTGGTGTGTGGTGTTGGGTGGTTATTGTGCAGGCTGTGCGGCCAGGAAGGATGGCAGTGTGAGGACAGTTGTCTGCACTCCCCCAGCCCCACCGGCCAAGTTTGGGAATTAGAGGAAAGCCCCAGGCCTGGCAAAGCCTCCTTGGTCTCCACTGTGTCCCATCTTGTTAATGGGAGTGGGGGCTCACTGGCATAATGAGCTGCATTTGGACAGCACTGGGCATGGTTTATAAATCATCACTGGTGCCTGAGGTCAGGGAGAAATGTGGGGAGATTTACGGCGTGCTTACCTTCCCCAGAGTGGCTGTGGAAACACGGCACCCTCGTGTCTGTCTCGTAGCAACTCCATAGATCATACTTTGTGCAATTACAAGGAGCCCTTTCCGACCATCCCTGGATCAAGCTGGGCTCTGGTGAGCTCACAGCTGCTCCAGAACTGTTCTCTGAAGGGACGTTGGCTCAAAAGCTGTCATCAAGCAGCCTCAGATCCACTGCACCCTCTCTGTGCCATTGCAGGCCAGAACAAAGCAAGATAAACAAATTCTCATTGCAGGGGAAGGCATCCTCCCCAACTTCCATAGCAGAGCTGTGCAAAAAGCACAGTCCTCTCATCATTGCTGTGCTGAACATAGCCACCCTGGATGATAATGTGATTAACATTAGTAGCTGTGCTGGCTTAGATAAGGGTAATTAAATCTCATGCTTCAGGGCATCAGCTAATCACTCGCAGGGTCATTTTAATTTATAACTTTTTTCTTTTTTTTTGCCCTTTCCTGAATTTATTTACCCATCCACCACGATGCGCTGTGTGCATCCTCTGTCAGCTCCTCAGCATGTGGCTGCTCTGGGACCTGGGGGCCGTGGCCACATCCAAGACAGGCAGAGAACCCTGGCTGCCCCCAGGGACGCTGCAGATCCGTGGGACCCTGTGGGATGCCCTTGGTCCCTCTGTTGGCTTCCCGCTGGCTGTGTGATAAGTGCTGTAGGGCTGCAGCTCTACACTGCACTGTATCTCAGATTTATGGCGTGATCTTGGGGGCTGTTGTTTAAGGTCAGGTTCCCCCCAAAAATCCCCAGTGCATGTGTGCATTTTCAGAAGGGCAGGAGGACACAGATGCAGCAGGGAAGCACGCTGGGCTGCATGCTTGGGGAATTGGGGCAGCGAGGGAGAAACATTTATCTCTGCAGTGACTCAGGATCTGTCAGCTGCCCCAGTGCATCTCCCTTGCAGGAGTGCTGTGAGCTGATGCCTTGGGTCAGTGTGCATTCCTGAGCAGTAGTGGTGTGAGGTGCTGAAGGCAGGACGAGAGGCAGGAGGATGCTGCAGGGGACCTGGGAGCAGATCAGTGTGCTGCTTCTTCCCCTGATCCCACTGGAATACACAGGGCTTGGTGGGCATCTGCAGGCCCAGAGGGCACGAGCACAGCGCTGCTGCATCCGTCCCAGCTCTCCCCTGTGGTTCTGACAGAGCCCAGAGCATCGTGGTTCTGCTCCATGCTTCCAGTGGGTGCAGAAACTGTTGGTTTGTGCAAGGGCGAGGGTAACCACAGGGTTATTAATAAAGAAGAGAGGAAGAGGAGCTGCGGCCCTCTGCCGGCTGCTGGCCCTCAGCACACTGCCCAGCTTGCTGTGGTCAGAGAGTGCTTTTGGCTGTTCCCCCCTCAGCTCTCCCCAGCACGGTGGGTGAGGTGGCAGCACGGTGGCTCTGCGGTGCCTGCCGTCACCCAGCGTGGTCACAGCGGTGGCACACAGCAGGATGTGTGCAGTGGTGCTGAGCTGCACCCCGGGAGACAAGCAGCTTAGGGTCAGGGAGGGGAGCAGATGCAAATAAGTGCTGTTGCACTGCTGAAATTTGGGCTTTGAACACTGCTGTGAGCATGTGCACACCCAGGTCTGTATGCACAGGACCCACTTGCACTTGGCCCTTGTTTTTCCCCAACCTTTGGACTGCAGAGCAGTTAAAGCAAATGGCATTACAGCAAGCAGCACTGCAGAGCACGGCTTTTTGGTAAATACCTTTTTGCAGAGGCGTCAGCAGTGACCAGCAGCTGTGCATACTGATGGGCCTCGCACTGCTTGCACTGCTCCTGCTCCTCAGCACAGCCCCTGCCCCCACTGGGACAGTGTCCCCAGTGTCCCCTTCTCCCTGTGCAACACACAGGGCTGGGCACACCTCTGCTGCCTGTCCCTTGCTGTCACTTGTGGGTGACACGCTGTCACACTGCAGGCTGAGCTGTGTCCCACACGTAGCATGTCTTCTCTCCCAGGTGTAGAGAATGCACTGGTATTGCAGTTCCCCATTTGCATTGCTCAGGGCTTAAAACAGCAAATCACTGCTCTGCCACTGGGGATCCCCTGTGTGATCAATGGGAGATTGTGAGCGCACGTGTGAGCAAGAGGTTTTTCCCTGCAGACAAATAAAACACTTTTTTTCCCTGGCAGTGACTGCAGTGAAGTTCCTGAGATTCCATCAGGTGCTGGAAGCTTTGAGATGTGGGGTGGGGAGGTGCATCCCCTGCTCTCCTCCTACATCCCTGTGTGCTGTTCTGGCTGCATCCAACCTGGAGCAGTGGGGAGGTTCCAGGAGGTGCTGCACCAGTGTCATACCAGCACCTGTGGAGATGGACATGTCCCTCCAAGCAGGATGTCAGAGCATCCCCTGAATGTGGATGGGTGCAGGAGGGTTGGGTAGGGCTGGTGGGAGCCAAAGCCGGAGCTGATGGGAGGAAATCAGCTCAGAGAGAGAGGGCAGGCAGTGCCAGCCTGAGGGCTGACCTGGTTCTGCAGGAACCTCCTCGTTTTGTTGTGGCTCTGGGAGGATGCAGAGCCTCCTGGCCTATATTCTGTCTCTAAGATCAATATTGAACATCTCCCCTCCTGCGTTCCCTATGCAAGTGCAGGCTTTGCCAGGAGGGGCTCGTCTCACAGCCCTGTCTGCTCACCATTTCAAATAATTTCTGTGCTATAGTTGTTCTAGAAACAATTCATTAGGGGCCTATTATACAATGTTACACCTGCTAAGGTTAGGAAAGATCCCACAAATGGTGAATTTGCAGCCTGAGCTGCACTCTTTGGCTTTTTCTGGCATCTGCCTGTACATTGACTTTTTTGTGACCATGCTCCCTGGAGCAGAGCCGTGCCCGTGGCACTGCTGGGTGACCAGCACGAAGCTGCACATGATGAGACGTGAGCAAATTAGGCTGCTTTCCTCTCAGCGCTGCCTGCCATCCCTCCCACAGCACACTTTGGGAATCCAGGCCAAAAGCAGCAGGCAGGTCCCCAGGCTGGCGGCGGTTCTGCTGTAAGCAGAGAGCTGCAGCTCTGGGGAGCTCGTTAAGCATCACCTCGCAGCCTGCAGACGGGGCAGAGAGAAAACCCCATCTTTGCTAGGACTGCTCCCAGGAACCCACCTGGAGGTGTCCCTCGGCCGTGCCGCCCGGCCGCAGCCTGCATCCTTGCTTTGCAGTTGTCTTTTTCTCTCCGCAGGGAGAACAACTTCATCAAGGACTTCCCGCAGCTGGCTGATGGGCTGCTGGTCATCCCGCTGCCCGTGGAGGAGCAGTGCCGTGGGGTGCTGTCTGAGCCCCTGCCCGACCTCCAGCTCCTCACTGGTAAGAGCCAGGCCCTGTGGCCAAAGCGCGTTCTCCCAGAGTTGGCCGTGGGGGCTGAACGCCAGCTGTTCCTTTGCAGGAGACATCAAGTATGACGAGGCGATGGGTTACCCCATGGTGCAGCACTGGCGGGTCAGGAGCAACCTGTACCGCGTGAAGCTCAGCTCCATCACCCTCTCTTCAGGTGAGAGATGCTCAGTGCACAGGAGATAGAGAGTCATAGGACCGTTTGGGTTGGAAACTCCACCATCACCACCGTGCCCAGCCATCAGCCTACCCTGCTGAGTCCCATCAGCAACATTACATACCTCCAGGGATGAGGACCCCACAGCGGCCCTGGGCGGTGACCCGCTTCATTTTGGCAGAAGGGAAACTGAGACAGGGAGGTGGGCACTTGGTTGCACACAGGGCTGGAGGCAGAGCCAGCATGAGCTGCTGAGCCTCTCCGCGGGGGGATTCCTATGAGCACGTGTATACACACATCTGTGACAAAAAGCACATTTGTGGTTTTACAGGGACCCAAACTGTTTGTGAATGCAGGTCCTGTCGTGCAGGGAGTGGCAGATGAGGAAGGGGCAGGCGGGAGGATCCTGCAGCCGTCAAAACATTTCACTTCCACGTTTTTATAACTACACGTTTTGTTTCAGAGATGCTGAAACGTTTTGTTGTGACCTGAAATGTTTTGCTTTTTTCATTTCAAAACAGCATTTTTTATTTAAGAAATCAACCTATTTTTAAGTGGGGAAAAAAAAAAAAGAAGATCTAGCACAGCCAGGCTTCACAGCCCCAGAACAAAGCAGCCTGCTTGGAGCTGAACAAAGTCTTTGGGGTCAGCTCACAATGAATTGTTCCAGCTTTTTCCTTCCACCACCCTTCTCCTTCAATCAACCAGCCAGGCAGATAACCTCGTTTGGGTGACAGATGCAACATATTTTCTTGCAGTGTTTTCAGTTCCACCATTGAAGCACAGCAGCAATAGGGGCCCTCTCCAGCAGTGCCTCTGTGATCTGTGGGCTCTGCAGAGCAGTCAGGGTGGTGTCACTGCTCTGTGAATGTCCCAGCTGTCTGCATGGCTTGGCAGGAGGTATTGCCTTGGTGCAAAGCTGCCACAGCCCACTCCACGGATCCCTGGGCTGTCCCCAGCTTTTCTAAGCCTAATGAATGGTCATACGGGGTATTCGTGCTGGGGGTGATCTGCTGTGCCCTCTGTGATAAGTCCATCTTTGCATCAAGACAACATCTGTGGTTATGGTCTGGCAAAGGCCATGCACATCCCTGGGGAGAGCACTGCCCCACGTCCCTGCATCCCTCAGGATGGCCTGGGCTCACAGGAGGGTTTGTGTGTACACACGTGCATCCTTGGAATCTGCTTGAGAAATCACTTGGGGAGAGGACTCATTGCAGGATGGCAGAGCCTCAGCCCTGTTAAGCCACAGGCTGTGCATTGTAGCAGCTGATGCAAACCACAGCAGAGCAAGGGGGAACATGTCTGCGCCCTGTGGGGGCTGCGTGCTGCAGTTTCCCTGTTCATCCCATGCTTTGCTCCTGCAGGCTTCGCCAACATCCTGAAGATCCTGAGCAAGGACAGCAGCCGGGAGGAGCTGCTCTCCTTCATCCAGCAGTTTGGCTCCCACTACATCGCTGAGGCTCTGTACGGCTCCGAGTTCAGCTGCACCATCCACTTCCCCAGCAAGAAGGTGCAGCAGCAGCTGTGGCTCCAGTACCAGAAAGGTGAGGAGGGCAGTGCCCTGAGCGCCGCGTGTTTCCATTGCTCCTCGCCATGGTTCACCCCCAGCCCTGCTGCCGTGCCCCGAGCCGGGGGTGCGGGTGGGTTTATGGAGATGTGACATAATTGAGCTGTCTGAGAATAGCTTCGTTTTATTGCTTGTGACAATGACAGTCTTTAAGGAAGTGTATTAAATCAATAGCAGACTCATTGTGCTACACTATAAATAACGAGACACATCATTAAACAGGGCAATAAACTTCAGGACTTTGAAGTAATACAATTAGGTTATGTTTATAAAAACTCCCTTATCGCTGTAGCCTTCCATTTGCCAATCCATCTCCCTCCTCCAGGGAGCTCAGGATATTCCTGATGTTTTTCTCTTGAAAATGTCTGCAGTGCTCCTTAGGGCACGCTGCAGGGCTCAGGAGCTGACAGGTGCTTCCATCACCTCCATCTCTTGCATTGCATCCATCCCATCCCGTGTGCTGCTGTGGTCAGTGCAATCCAGCTCCTGCAGTGCGTTCTGGTTCATTTTCCCTCTGTCTTCCCAGCGCAGCACTCCTGTAAGCGTGTTTGTAACATCCTGTACTCATTTGCTTTGTTTTTAAAGAGTGATAAATGGAGTTTGCCAAAGCAATGCCCCCGTTTAGCAGGAAGGAGCGTTGCGGAGGTGTGCTGCTGATGGCTGCTGATGTGGTGATGCGCTCAGACACGCTCAGCCCTCTGCAGATGTATCCATGGGGAGAGGATCCTAAGCAGCTCCTGTTGCAAATCCTGAAGGATGCAGGGGGTTGGAGGACAGTCCTGTTCTGCATCTGAGTGTTTAATCTCTGGGTGTGCTGTGTTATTTAGGTACTAGGTGTTGGCACTGATGTTCTTTGTGCACAGCTCTGTCTGTGACATGGGGCTTTGGCAGCCAGCAGGATTGGTGGGGTTCATCTCTGGGGTCTTTGCTACAGTGGAAGAAACAAGTTCTGTAATTGGCTGCTTGAGGATGCTCAGGGCTCTTGCAGAGGTACCAGGGATGCTGCTCCATGGACAGAGCATCACGAGGAGCCCAGGGCTCTCTCCTGGAGAAACCCCAGTGAAGAGGCAGAGCTCGCCACTGATGGAAGATGGATTTGATCCTCAGCTTCTCCCCTGATTTGTCCTCATTTTAGCAGTGTTGTAGGGAGGATCTGGATAAATAGCCCCAGCTAGATGGTTCTGGATGCAGTCTCAGCTCAGAAACAGCTCTGTCCTGCCGTTCTCCCACTGCTCCTTCCAGCACTGCTCCAAGTGTGTGTGCATATCATCTCCCATTGGTACGACAGCAAGGCCAGGGTGAGGGCCTCCCAAAGCCTCCCCCCTCCCAAAGCAGAGGGAGAGGAGAGGCTTGAACTAATTGAAACGGCACCAAATATGATCAGAATGCATGCTGTGGCATGCTCACTGCATCGTACTGAATTATTTTAATACTGTAATCAACTTCACAAATCAACTCGTGGGCTTTAGGAAGAAGCTGCTGCCAGGAAAGAACATGATCAGTGTGTTGAGACCTCATGGAAAACACGACCAGTGACATGGCTTAGCATCTGGGCATCCATTTCTGCAGCCATGTGGAGGAGAAAGGGATGCAGCTCTTGTGGGGCTGGCAGAAGGTTTGTGTCCTTGGGACAAGCAAGCTGCAGGCGCTGCCAGCATTAGTGGGCTGCTCTACCTGTGGAAATAGGGACAGTATTCAAGCAGACCGGAAGGAAGCTTCCTTCTGGAGCAATGGGAGCAGCCTGGGGACAGGGATGGGGACAGGGATGGTGAGGGTGGCACCACACTGCCCTACGTGGGGTGATTTGTGGGGATTCCTGGGTGGCAGAGCCCTGTTCTGCAGTGGAGCTGCCTGCCACGTCCAAGAGCATGCAGGAGTGAATCCTGCAAACATGAGAGGTGGGGAGGCTGGGGCTGCTGGCTCAGCCCCTGCTCAGACAAATGCAGACACTTCCCCAGGCTCTCCTCTAGGAACTGTGTGAGCAAAGCAAACCAAACCCAAATTTTATTTCATGCTGAGCGATTAAAATCCTGTTTTCAGGGCTTGTTTGCTTGGGCTCTGTGCAGTCAAGCAGTGCTTTGGCTCAGCAGAGGGGCTTCCAAGCAGGGACCTGCAGATCGACCTGGCCATCGATCTGTGCCACGGGAGCCTGCATCCGTTTTTCCTGTCATTGAAGGCAGTGCTTAGTCCTGACGGTACCTCATTAAGTTCTCACCAGTTGTGAGAACATCTTCATTTGGCAGCTGAGGCCAATGCGACAACCCAGGCCATCCCCTGTTGTGTTTGATTGGGCCAGGTCTGCCTGGGATGGGGCAAACCAGCTTCACAGAAGCCCCATAGTGCTGTGCTTGTGGTCTGGCTGATGTGGGGTGCTGACAGTGCAGTGCTCTGGCTGGGGCTGAGCAGTGCCTGCACAGTGATGGGCCTTTCCTGTTCCCTGTGAGCAGTCTGGGGCTAGGCAAGAGGCTGGGAGGGGAGATTTCGGTTAGATTTCAGAGCAAATGCCTTACTGAGAGGGCAGTGAGGCCCTGGCACTGCTGCCCAGAGCTGTGTGTGCCATCCCTGGAGGTGCCCAAGGCTGTGGATGGGGACCTGGGCAACCTGAGCTGGGGGCAGGCAGCCCATGGCAGGGGTGGTGCTGGGAGCTGTAAGATCCTTTCCAAACTAACCATTTTATGGTTCTGTAGTTCTCTGAGGGCACAGCCAAGCCCAGTAATGTCGCACTCAGCAATAAAACTGGAGGTAGAGCAGTCACAGAGACACCATCCCAAAGTGCACAGAAGAGAGGGGCTGCACCCGTGGGGCTGCTTTGTTCACCAACACACACGTTGCACAGAACTGCTTGCTCCCCAGCTGGATGAGGAGCAGAGCTTGGCAAGGAAAAGGACATAGCTGCTCCAGCAGCACCATCTGACAGCCCCAGTGGGATTTCCTGAGCGTCGTTCTCCTTGCTCGCTTGCTCCTACTGCGATACACAAAATGCAGAACAAATGTCTGTAAGTGCTCTGGCACTTAGAGAAAATGGAGACGTTATCAGCCGTAATGCAGAGGGTCTCGTCTTGTCAGGCACTTGAATGACAACTCTTTTCCTTCTCACCTTGCAGCCTTGAGCTGAGCCTCAGCGTGGGAGATGTGTGTTCCCCAGCTGGGAAGAGCTCACCTCTCCCGTGCCATAGGGATCTGGGAGCGGGGCTGAGGTGCCTGGGGTGTGCATGGGCACAGATGAAGAGGTTTTCAGTACCAGAGTGTTGCACTGCTGTGTAAGGACTGAGAGATGCTCCCTCTCGGCAGCTGATGGCTCACTAACGCAGGAGGGGCTGTGCTGACAGCTGCTGTCACATTCACTAAGGCCTCCTGACCATCCATCACCCTCTGCTCGCTTATCTCCCTCGGATCATGTGTCTCTGGATGTGTTTCCCTGTAAGAGGTTACAGATTTCATGCTTTCTTGTGAACTGAGCAGTTTAGACAGGGATCTTCATGAAACATAATAAGGCATAGGATGCAGCCTAAGGGTCTGCTGGAATAGCAGTCATATCTTTCAGAGCATGGTCTGTGGGTCCCTCCTGTTTCTGCATGCTCTGAATCCTCTCCCTTCAGGTCTGGTACTGCCATGAACTGTCCATGGGAACCTTTAGCTTTTAGTTCCTACACACAATCAGGTGCATGAAGAAAGGTGAGTTTTGCACCTATTAAAGGTGGTAATGGCCTTCCCTTATACTGCTTGGTCAGAAGTAAAACACTTTGAATTGCCCAATCCTTGAGATAAGCTCCTACAAACCACCACTCCGTTACCTTTATAACACTCTCCCAGCTTGTGGTTTAGATCATTATGTTTATTTCAAACCCTCAGATTTTGACATTTTGCTCAGAGGAGGAAAAAACAATCTAGCTGGTTGCCATGAAATTTAGTTTAGACTAAAGTCTGTGCTGTGACTCAGTCTGCTAAGCGACCTTATGCACTGCTCATTGTAATCCAAAATTACCAGGCGAGTAATTAGTTGTGCAAAATGAAATAACTTAAAATCCTCACATGGAGTAATGACCCAGAAAAATCACTTCAGCTCTACAATGGAAACAACTCAAAGCATCTGGCTGGAGTTTTACTTTTGTAGCTCTGTCCCCTTTGATTAAGAAGCACTCTTCCACTCGTCCCTGTTCAAAACCGTGGCTGTCGGCTGCTGCCCAGACCAAATGTTACAGCACACATAAGCTGTAACTGATAAACTGGCAGCCCGTCGCCGTTTAAAGAGCTGCTCCGTATCTGAGATGAACACGGGTAATAACAGCCTCTCCCCAGATCAGCAGCTGTGCTGCGTGGCAGGGGGGAGCCTGCATGTGCTGGTGACACATGGAGGTCTTTGAAAGCTGAGTACAACACTGCTTTGCTCCCCTTTGGCTCCATGTGAACGCAGACCTGTTGCAGTGTTTATCACCACCAGTGAGCTGTGAGCTCTCCTCCTGGCCCCTGTGAATGAGCTGCCTCTAAAGCCGTGCAGTGCTGAGGCAGAAAGTGCAGGAGCACCGCTGCCGTTGGATGGAAGAAACTCCAGGCTTTGTTTATGGGGTGGGAGGAGAAGTGTTAGATGAAGTTACGTGAGAGCTGCTCAAGAGATCAGATCTGTCCTCCCCACTGTGACGGCGCAGGAGGGGTCGAGCAGCCATTGTGTTAGCGAGGCTCATTCCCACCAGCCATGAAACACAACCTGCCACCAAAGGGAGAAGACAAAGTGCTTTTAATAACAAAATGAGCCGTCTGCAATGCACTGTTAATTGGATCGATTTTTCCTTTATTAAAAACTGAACACATACGTACAACCAGACAAGTTCTTTCTCCAGGTAGAGAGCAGAAGCAAAACTATTTCATCACAAACCTTAATTGCCCCGTTTCATCTCATCTGGCAAACGATCACAGCATCACACTGGGGGCACCACAGCAAGAAATACAGCTCTGCAGCATCAACTTCACAGTCAGCCGGGTTGTGGCAGGGAAAGGGCTAAGGACAACAGATTTCCTTTTTCCCTTCCTGAAACCTCAGCCCAGAAGAGCTGCAGACAGAACACAGCCAGGCAGCCCTCGCCCTGCCTTGTCCCACCAATGCATGGCACAGCAGTGTTATTTTTCCAGTCTCTGAGCGAGCAGCAGATGACAAATGCTTTGTTTGAGCTACGTGCCCAGTAACAGACCGGGGTAAACAACAGCTCAGCCCATTTGCTGGACAAGCTTTTATGTCCCTTTAAGCACACCAGGAAACGTTCTTGCTGGCAGCGTGATGTTTATTGCAAAAAAAAAAAAATTCCATTGGAACAGAAAGTGACAGAGGTACATATTATCATAGATAATATTGCTTCAATTATTCAGGTCCACAGTAGCTTCCTGCTTGGAGCAGTTCTTAGAAACAGGAGAGATGTTTAAAAGAGATCAGTAGGAGAGGAACTGACATTACCATAATACTGGAAAAAATGCCTTGAGTTACAGTGTAATTAACTGCAGAAGGTGCCAGTAATAGTAGTCATCTCCCAAAAACATACATGCAAGATGAGATCAGCTCCCCAAATTGCTGTTACATACCTCAGGCAACTGCCCCCTCCCATCCAGAAAGAGAAGCAGGGAATGTAAATAGTTGTGTGCATATCGCCAGCCTCAGCAAATACACAGAGCAGTGCAGGAGGGAGGGGGGTTCAGTTCCCTTGGGCTCCTTTAGTGTCTTCCATCATCTGCCCTGCTAATCATCCCCTCTTAGCTCCTACCTTCTTCTCAAAGATCTTTCTACAGTGCATCACAGTGAGAAGAACGGGATGCTGTCCTGCTCTTTGGGCAGCTCCATCACACACTTGGGCTCCTGCTGTGTGCTGTGGCTGAGCACAACAGGGAGAGGGAAAGAACAAGTTCTGCCAAAGGGTTCTGCTCCCAGAGCTGCTTCTGGAAACCCCATTGCTGCCCTGCAACAGGCTGGAGCAGCAGCTGCTCTGAAGGCTGTTTTCCTTCCCTGCTTCACCAGGGAAAAGTATATGAGAGAGTAAAAAAAAATCACCTGTTGCATACATGTTGTAGGACAAGCAGCAAACAATTTGCTATCGCATGGCAGCCACCATAAAATCAGCTTTTATATTGTCTGCCATGCCCCCAAATTTGCAACTATGTTGTTGATAGCAACAAATAAATGCACTGCAGCGTAACTATTATCTGTGGCAGATTAACATGCTACCACTGTGCCCGATTTGAATGCGTCCTTCCTTCAATAAACTATTCCAGGCAAGCAGCACCACACTGAGGTACACATTTATCAGTGAGGAGAGCAGCACTGTGGGGGCTTGGTTCACACAGCTGCAGTTTTGTGCTTCATTTGGCCCAAAGCCGTGATGAACACGAACTCTGGTGCCTGCTGGTGCCATAAAAAAGCTGAGGAATGTCGTGATTTGCTGTGCAAGGAGAAAAAGGCAATGCACCAATGGATGTGCTTTGGAGTGCTAAAAAAATTTAAATGAAGCAATCCCCCCCACCCTCATCGTGGGATACAAAGTGCAGACACGTGGAAACCTGTTTGCAAAGGTGACGATCCGGAATGCAGGTAGTGAGGTGCAGGTGAGCATAGAGTTGTGCGTGATCTCATTTACTCCCACCTCCCAGTCTTCTTCCCCCAGCCTTTCCCTCCCCCCAGATGAAGGTAGCAGACACACCTCCCAAAGACAGTTCCCAAGACACATTTAATAACAGCACGCTTCTGAATATCAACAGATTTCCCCTGATTTTTTTCCTGCAGCCCCCACCCTTCTCCCCCTCCCCCCTCCCCAGCAGAATTCTTAGCAGTAATGATAACCCTGTTGCCATCAGAGGGCAGTTTTCTGGCTCAGCTCGGTCTCCCATGATTGCACTGTACTCACTTCACATTGAACAGACACGGTTCACAAATGGCATGACAGGGGCGATCTCCTGAACACCAGAAAAACGGAGAGAGAAAACCCTCAGTTTGGAAGTAAAGCTCCATCTCGGTGCAGTTTAGGAGGGCTATTTTGTTTTATGCAGTGCTGCAATCAGAAATTGCTTTCTGTACTAGTTGCCCAGACAACTGCTACTGAGTTCCTCGCGAGTACTATGGCAAGAGAGGATTGCCTCTCTAGTCCCCTAAAGGAAGGAGATTTAGGGCAGTCAGTCAGTGTTTATGGCACAAAGAAAGGTACAGTGGTTGAAGACGTAGTCAATGCAGAATAAGGAGGTGAGAAGGGTTAAGGAGCGACTGGTCATTTTAGCAAAAAACCAATATTCCAGAAGGATCTCTTCCTTCATGCTCTTCTATTCTATTGTACAGATTCAGAATGAGAAAATGCAGACCGCCACCACGGTGGTTATTTTGTTCCTAAACAAAATATGTGATGGTTTCCGTGCCAAACCCCGTTGGGCTGTGGTGCAGTTTTCTCAGTGGTTCCTGTCAGATTGCAGTGAGGCTGGAAGAACTGCTGCTAGTGACAGGGGCTTTCCCCAGAGAAATGCCGTTAAGGGGTGGAATATCTTCTCAGATGGTAACTGTAGATCTTAATGCAATGATCCCAACAGTCCAGCACCAACAGCTGTCCTTTGGGAGTAATGGCAATACCAACCGGGCAGGTGAGTCCTTCCCGGATTAAGATATTATAGCCACCTCCTTTAGGAAAATGCAGGATTTCCTTACGGCTGCTGTCAGCAACGATGAGGTCTCCCCTGGCATCTACACACATCCCAGCAATGCACCTGAAATCCTCGTTCTCAGAGAAGAAATGGCTAATCTGGCGTCCCAGCTGCCCGTCCGGGCCAACAGAGCCGATTGAAAAGCCTCCTTCCAAGTGGTGTTCGTACTGCCTGTTTTCCAAGTTGAGCCCCAGCCCCTGAGTGAAGTATATGGTCCCTTCAGCATCACAAGTGACAAACTTGGGGCGCACTGCACTACACAAGCAGGTGTATTTCACCACCCCCACGCCGCGGTCCACGGTGAAGCACCACAGCTTCCCCCCTTCCACATCAGTCACCACGAACTGTCCAGAGGGCAGAGCTGCAATGCCCCAGGGCTTGCTTAGCTGGCTCCTGTGACATGCCACACAGTGCCCATCCATGGTGTACACCTTGACAGAGTTATCGTAGCTGTCGGTCACACCTATCAGGCCATGGCAATTCATGGTGACAGAAAGGGGAGTCAGATTGGGCAAGTCTGCTCCAAGGAAGCTCAGTACAAAGCTATCGATTCCGCTAGGGCTCCGGCGGATCTCCTTCAGGAAGCCCTTGCGGGTGAAAACCTGGATTCGAAAATTGCCTCGGTCTGCCACAAGCACCTCTCCTTGGAGAGTGACGTACAGGCTGACAGGCAGATTGAACATCCCTGGCAGGCTGCCCTTGGAGCCCATCTTCTTGATGAAGTAACACTGCTGGATGCTTGCAGCTGCTTCGGGCATCCTCGGCTTGGCTGGGGAGGAATTCGGCGTGCAGCTGGCTTCTTCTTGCACCAAGTCAGGCTCTCTAAATGATGCCGATGAGGATGCTGCAGTTTCCATAAGCGATTCTTCCAAGTTAACAGTCCGGGGTTTCTTCACCACCTGCCCAATCTGCAGTGGTCCCACATGGCTCACTTTAAGGAGTTCAACCTCGTGAAGGATCAGCTCCCCTGGGAGATTGTTTGTTAGTTCTGGTTCTTCCTCGTCTGCTGCATCTTCCAAGAGAGCTATATCTCCTTGCTTTATTTTGGCAAGGAAATAATCACAGCGAGACAATATCTGCACTTCTGCTAAGTTCAGCAGATAAGCTTGTTCCTCCATTACCTGATTATTTACCTTCTCCACTTCAGACAAAGAAGTGGTGAAGAACTTGCGTGACCTGGCCAGTTCTTCCTGGATCTTGCGCTCTTCTTTGCTGTAATCTTGCAGAACTGCTCTGTATCTAGATTGCAGGTCACTAGAAACACCTTCCAGAGATGCTTTTCTTTTCTGCAGATCATCCATGAGCTCCCGAAGTCTGGCAAGCCTTGTCCCAAATTCCCTCCTACGCTCTTCAGCAGCCTCTTTGATAGCAATGACATTATGCCCTTGGGGCATGTGTGATGTCTCCTTGCACGGCTCACATAAAACCAAGCCACAACTCTTGCAAAAGTGTCTTGGCAACCTTCTCCCACAGACTTTGCACATGAGGAGACCAACCACTTCCCCCAGCCCTGTGGTGTCTATGATCTTCAGTACAGTAAGATTGTCAGTCAGCTGAGCTAAGGTTTTGATCCGAGTGATTTTGCTGCAAAAAGGGCAGCGAATCCCGTTAATGCTGGTTGCTAGGAGCTTCTCCAAGCACTGTTTGCAGATGGTGTGCCCACAGTGTAAGAGCTTGGGTCTCAGGTGCTCCTCAGTAAAGGACTCCATGCAAATGGGGCACTCCAGGACCTCTCGGAGTGCGTCCGAGTTGAGCTGAGGGGCAGAAGCCATGGCTTTCCAGTCAGCTTTAGCCAGTGCAGAATCTGGTACTCGCATGTATTCCAAGGTTTTCCCAATTCTGTCCAGAAAGAAAAAAGAAAATGTGATTTATGTCATCAACAGCATTACATGTACATGCAGTTTATTTCTGATTTATCTCCCAGATGCGGAAAACAGAAACCCAGTTGGCTTTTCCACATGTGAAAAGGGTAGATTTATCTTCGCTAATCTCAGAGTGGGCAAATCCTGAAACTAACCTGCAGCTTCCAGTGCAATGAATTATTCACTTGCAAAATTTATAAGTAGAACTGAAAGAAGTGTAATGGCAGCAATAAGGAAGCCCAATATATATTGATGACTGAATCATCTCCTCATGGTGCCCATCTCCTGCTGCCAAGCCTGTGAGTTTACATAATTTACTCTGAAATCCAGAGAGATTAAACCAAGCGTTCAAATGTTGCGCATCAAAAGAAGAACCAGATGGTGCAATGCTTTAGGACATTAATATATCACCTCTGGAGACCTGCATTCAGATAAGACATCAGAACAAAATAAATGTGGTTGGTTTAAACTGCTTTTCTAGAAAGCCAAAATAAATTTTCAAGGTTTCATATGTTTGCCAGGAGGTAATCCTAGAAGGAATGATTTGTCAGCTTCCACTTGGTCTGTGATTGACTGTTTATAGTGGAAACATGCGCTGATGTCTTTAAACCAGTGTACTTCATTAACCTCTGCCATGCTGCATCATGCAAATAAATACAGCTTGATGCAGCAGCGTTGTATCAGGTATTAGCAGAAATGGAGCTACCAGACAACTCCAAATGCTTGATAATACAGACTGCATGTGTTCACTCTCAGGTCTTGAACTTAGCTTAATTGCACATAATTTCTCTGTATTCCATAATCTTGTAGCACTGACTTCACTCTTGTATTTTGGTTCAGTTTTGTACCACCGTGGTTGCCATTCAACTTCAGTCCAGTTTCTTCATCCTCACATCCCACGCAGCAGGGAGCAGATCCCAGCAGCTTCCTTGCTGAAGCAGCCATCCATTCAAAAGGAACAGAACAGGGTTCACATCATTAAGTTATTATTCAGCAGACTGAGTTTCAATACCTCTGCTACTGCATTGCTTAGCCGTTAAAAGAAATGGGGAGAAAACATTTCTTCTAGGGGGAGAGGAGGGGAAGGAAGTAGTTAGTCTTTAAAATGAAGAGCTGGTCACAGAGGGAAACGAGCAGAAAGCTTTCTTCCCAATAATGGCTGCATGCACGCAGCACTCTTGCTTCCCTGCTGCGTTTGCCTGCTTCGCCCTCAGGAGCATTTCAGACAGAAAGGTTCAGTGTATTTCAGTTTAGCGTTTGCTCAAGTGGAAGGAGACAGCTGTAACGAAGAAAAGTTCTTTATGTTCATACAGAGAAAAAAAAAATCTGAATTTATCAGCCCACATTGCAGGGATGGGCGCTGCAGGATCTCCACCGGCAGGGTCCCAGCCTGGGAGCTGACGCCAAATGGGGGCACAGCCGATGTCTGGCTCTCAGGTGGCACCATTGGCACTTTTGGTTCCACGGCACTTCACAGCCTTCCCTATCCTGCTGAGCAGCACCTCAGCTGTGGAGAAAGGAGCCTGGGCACTGCTGTGCAGATCAGACACATTGCTCTGAGGGGTGGAGAGCGGTGTTTTAAAACAATTTCTACAAATTCAGCATAGGATGCAGGATTTGTTACTGTTGTTTTCCTTGGCAGTGCAGGAGGAGCTGCTGGGGAAGGCGCGGGCACCAGGCGAGGCGAGGGGTTGCACAGAGAGCTGCCGTCAGATCGCGTGTTTTCGTCAGTGTGAAATAGAGCACGGGGTTTTCTTTGCTTTGAACTCAGGCTCGGTCAGAAGGACGCTTTGTGTGATGTTCTTTTAATACGCACAGCCCACCTACCGCATGCACAACCCTCCTATCGCACGCCAGCGCGCGTCTCAGCGCCGCGATGCTTTGGCAGCGCTGTTACCCCTCAGCACTCTCCTCCCTCGGTTGTACCCCACATCGGGCCGTTCCTCCCGCACAGAAAACGGGAAGCCCGGGGCTCGCCTGCCCGCGGGGCCGAGGCCTGGCCAGGCCCCGTGCGCGGCCCCGCAGCGCTGGAGGAGCGCCTCCTCCCGCCCGGCCCGGCCGCGCCGCCCGCGCCGCCCGCAGCGGCGCCGGTGTGGCCCCGGCGCTCGGTGCGGTGCTGGGGGTGCTGCCGCCC